GGCCTGTAACGCCACGTACTTACTTATTTCACGAGTACGCTGGAATGAGGAGACTTTAAGCACACTTCCGGCCCAAACTTTCTTCGAGAACTTTTTGGTGAAAAGTTTATCAACGAGATAGAACAGAGTAATAAGGATAAGCGTCGTGCTATTTCTTAACAACTATGAAACAAACGCATTATAAAGTGGGTCGGGGTTTGTTTTAAAGTGATAGAATATTGTATAAATGAAATGAGAAAAATGTTTCAGTCACGATGAACTTTTACATTTTCTGTGCCAATTATTAGGGAGGTATTTTGAATCAAGTTATTAGGTATTATTTTTATATTATTATCTTATTATTATAACCTTGTTTAATGTCATACTGTGATTAATATTATTTTCAATAAATAAATGTTGAAAGTTTTATTAAGAATTTTTATCGCAATGATTTTTGAATCACGCGTTGCAATTAATTATAAAAGATTGGTCAATAGTGTTATAGAAGGTTAATTATTAAAAATTTTATTACGACATTGAATATCGTCGTAAAAAAGATACGATATCGCATAATGGGCCACTTGTTAGCATCTTCTTGAAGTAAATTGAATGCCAATTTGTGCGAACGAACGCGTATAATTCGTGAATATCGTTACTGTATTCCCTCCTACTGGCTTCCCTCTTATTTTCATTTTAAATTATAAATTATATTTTACAATAAGCCTCTTGTCTTCCTGTTGCATTCTTTCACGAAAACATTCGTTATGATATACAGTCTGGCTCAAATACGAGATAAGAGAAATAGGAAAATATTGATGTGTAATTTCTGTTTTTTTTTTTTGTCTTTTTATTTATTTATTTATTTTTTTTTTTTCAATTCGATTTTCGTTTCATCACTTAATGAAAAGAATACGAGTATCTTTATAAAAATTTATAATATATTTTTAAATATCTTTGTTATTAAAGTTTTAAATAAAATTCGAAATCAACTCGATCTCTTCAATTCAATTTCAAATTCAAAACTCATTTGTGGTTAACACAGATGTTAACATGGAGCGAATTAGCGCGTAATATCGCGTTCAATGGCTTAACACCATCATTGCATTAATTACATTTGCAATTATCCGAGCAGGATAAGCACAAGCAAGTACAGGTCAATTATCTAAATTGTGTGCATCGAGTAAACTGCGAATCATCGGAATTATCGTGTCACGATTGTTTCTCCAACCGGCAGTATCTCATTTCAAACATCTTGATAAGTAAAAGTGTCCAAAAAATTCCACTTTTTTTTCCCCCGCATCAGATGAATCATATATAATTATTCTTTCTTCTATTGAAATATTTAGACACGAGTAAACATAACTTGTTTAGCTTTCTAAATGATCCGGGAAAAAACGTCGCGATGTGCGTTGTAAAAATTTCTTCAATGATTTATCATCCATATTATCACGAATCATGATCCATTTTTTTTACTTATTGTAATCAAGAATCGCAAATTGATCGATCAAAATTTCTCTAGAAAAAGAATCTTTATCTTTAAATGTCGCGTTGCATATTTTACGAGTTTAATGGGACGACCTAATTGTAAAAGTGAAAGCGACGGGCAAAAACTCCGGCCGATGAAAATAGGATCCATTCGATTTTTCTTTCTCCTCGTGACAGACAAAGGTGGAGCTTATGTAACTTTCATTGTGCCAACGTCGATGCGAGCGCAGAAAAGCACAACGGCCCGTGGATTTTCCATATTCAGGCTGTTTCATTCCCTTCGAGAGAAAAAGGCGTACGTGATCCACGAAACGTTCACGTTTTACGCGGAATATCGCTTATACAGTCTTTTTCTTCACTTAACGTGAAACGATTCACCAGAGTTTCACGTAGTTACTTACTTTATACACCGTCTTAATCACCGTTGACCTTCGGAAATACGATTACAGGAGATGGCTTGACGAGGAATTGGCGAGGACTCGGCATCGTCTCCAATGTACGGCGAGGCAAATTGAACATCTCGTATATACAATCTTGGCTTCTCCTTGAATGATCCGATTTTTTTTCCTTTTTATCTTTTCTTTTCTTTTTTTTTTTTTTTTTCCTCCCTTTCTTGTTTTTTTTTTTTTTTTTT